AATAACTAAAAAAAATAGAAGTGTTTTTGCAAACATTTAGTTTCAAGACAAATTTATATTTACCTATAAAATGTTTACAATTTTACATCTTTATTAAATGGAAGTGTGGGCAATATTACGCAAAAGGGGGAAAAAAAAAATTTACAGAACAAACCAGGAAAATCGTTTACTGATGTCAAACAGCACCTTTATGTTGACTGCCTCCTTGACAGCACATTAGGAAACTCTCCAGTTTGTTCACAAAAGGGCTGTAATCGTGAAAGGTCACATACTGATGGAATGTCTTAAACTTAAAACTGAATATAGACATGGAATGGCAAACCTCGGGTCCCTTTTGTCGTCGTTAGCCGTGTATGCAAAATCACGCACATGACAGCAATAATAGTAATGCATGTTAGTCAGTGTCACAATACAGCCTGTTTTCATCCCTTCTGTATGAGATCGCAACAGAATTGTACTGCTACTAGTAAGCACAAGTTATCCAGGAGGAAAAACTAAACGTCACAGTGTTTGTTAAATTAATGGAGAGTTTAATAACCTTTTGAATAAAACCAGCAATTGCCAGTACACTATTGGAGAAAAAAGACAGAGGAGGGAAAAATGGGTGGGGAGGGACATTATAATGCATTATATCCTGCTAGACCAGAGAACATATGCCTTTTAAAAATGTTAGGAGGGATTTTGGGAAGGGAAAAAGATGGAAATAATTTCCACTATTCAACCATTTTCCCTCGTCTGGGGGAAAATACATAAACAGACATGTTCGAGACAGCCTTGGAAAAACCAAACTTCACCCTGCCACTCGTGGCTTCAGGGGTACAAACTTGTAGGTCAGGTACAATTCATGCTGCTCGTCATACAGAAAGGTGGATAAAGGTGAGGTGGACTGGATGGAGCAGGGAATTATGGGCTGTATATGTGTAAGATAAAGAGTGTAGGTGGATTTAACAGTGAAGTGCAACGCCTTTAGTTCTCGCCCTCGCCAGCATCCGCCTCATCACCCTGGTTTTCTGATGTCCACAGCTGCAGAACGAAAGAAAAAAGTTAAAATGATGCAATGATAAGGCTCCAAAATTAACTTTTTACCAAACTGATCAATGGCGTAATACTAAATATTTTTTTATCTGCAAAATTTTGAGCCATTTATATTAAAACTATACTGACTCTTAAGACAGGTTTCTGCAGGTATATGGAGGTAAATTTAAAGGGTTAGTTCACCCAAAAATGAAAATTAGGCTGCATTTTACTCACCCCCGAGGCATCCTAGGTGTATAAGCTGTTTAATGCCACTCAGCGGGTGTTGCATTGCTTCAGTCCAAAAGAACTTAAATAAAAATTGCCCATCCATAAAAAAAAAGTGTCTCACACGGCTCTGGGGGGGTGAACTGTCGTAAACAGAAGCAGTTCTGGGGGAATGACGTATGAGTTCAGCGTTGCACACGCGGAAACCAGCGGAGAGATCAAAACAACGGTCAAGAATTAGAATTACAAAATGAGGATTTGTAAAGAAGAATGTCGGAGGATTTCGATATAAGCCAAGAGGAGACTGGTTTTCCTTTGCTAAAGTAAGGAAACTTTGCTTCCTTTGATCCTGTTAACAAACGTTGGTTTTCACGAGACTCACCAGCGCATGCGCAGCACTGAACTCATACGTCATCAGCCCGGAACTGCTTCCGTGTACAACTGTTGGCGCAAGCTAGATTAAAGTGATTATTACGTTTTGAATATGGATATTTTTCTTACAAAAACACATCGATTCGCTACAGAAGGCCTTTGTTCAGATGCTTTTTTTATGGATGGGCGATTTTTATTTAAGTTATTTTGGACTGAAGCAATGCAACACCCGCTGAGTGGCATTAAACAGCTTTAAAGATCAAAGACAATTTTTAATATAACTCCGACTGGATTTGTCTGAAAGAAGAAAGTCATATACACCTAGGATGGCTCTGGGGTGAGTAAAACGCAGCATCATTTTCATTTTTGGGTGAACTAACCCTTTAAGATGTCAAAAGTTAAATTCAACTTCCAACAAACCTGAATACTTCTGTTTTTAATATGAAAATAACTTTTACAGTAACTTCTGATCACACAGCAAAAAAGTGATGCTCTTCATCAGTATTTCTGCCTTGTTTTCCTGTGCACATATCTATGATTCTTAAATCAAGATGACAGCTAAATGACATGTTTTATTGTATAAGTACTTGAAATGAGCTATCAACAATGATAAAAATCTGCTGATGGGCTTAGAAAAAAAACCTACTTAATTCAATGGGAAAACAAGTTTTAATACCACACTGACCAATATGTGTTGTTCTTTTAAGCATAAACTGTCAAAAAATTAATATCTTCACTTTGCATCTTAAGTAAATGTATCTTGATTGACAAAACTATACCAAGGAAGATATTAATTTTTATGCAGTGCATGCGATTTAAAACTTTATGCTCAGATTTAAATTCTTACTTTGTGGAAGGGCGCATTAAGACTTTTTAAGACCTGCAGTAACCCTGCTAAGAAATTAATTGAAATTCTTGAACTAAAATTTATGCTAATGATAACTTAAAAAATACGGTATTTAATTTAAAAAATGCTGAATTTTTTAAATATTAATTTTGGTAGATTATTGTACACATGTTTCGCCACACTGAGTTTTAGAAAAAAACTATACAAGATAAATCATCCTACACAAAAATTGTTGTCAGAACTTGCGCAAGACGAAAAAGACATCTAAATGTTTTTGATTTTAATCGCTCACACCACTTAAGATTAGCATGGCTCAGGTTATCATTTATGATTTAATCTATGATGAGTAATCTATATAGTCTATATTAATTCTACATTGTTCATTTTAAAGGAGTGTTACATTTTGGGCTCTGTCTACACCTAGAAAAGCCAAAGTTGGCACTTACAGTGAGGTTGTCCCTTAGTAACTGCATGATCAGGGTGCTGTCTTTGTAGGAGTCCTCGTTCAAGGTATCCAGCTCAGCAATTGCCTCATCAAAAGCCTAGGGTGAAGGTAAACATGAGGGTCAGTTCTGTTGTCTTCCTGTACACTGGAAATACTCATTCTAGTATTCAGTATAAACTCATTTAGTTTCACATTTCAAATCGCTTTTTGAAGATATCCACTGAATGTTGCATAAATAAGATGGGATGAAAGCGTAAAGAGTACATTGCGTTTACCCAAAACAGAAAAAGTCAAACAAGCTGTAGATGAACAGATAATTGTCTAACCGTCTTTGCCAAACTGCAGGCCTGCTCTGGGGTGTTGAGGATTTCATAGTAAAACACGGAGAAGTTCAGTGCTAGTCCCAGCCTGATGGGGTGTGTTGGCTGCATTTCCTTTTTGCTGATCTCAAATGCATCCTGGTAAGCCTTCTGAGAGTTGTCCACTGTGGCTGTAATTTGAGAAGAAACAAAATCAAATTCATGACAGTCACATCACATCCTGAATGTTTCGATGCTTTGGCTAGCATCTAATTATTCACTCTTAGGAATGGACCTTAAACTTCAGCATTATCAGTTCCAACCATTTTCTATTAATCCATCGACACCCTAATAAATAGATTTAACAGATAAATTCATATTTAGGCAACATCCTTCTTGCTTTATAAAGAAAATGAGCTCACTTTTCTTTGCTTCTCCGGATGCCACCTCAGACAGGTATCTGTAGTAGTCTCCTTTCATTTTCAGGTAGAAGACTTTGCTCTCTGCCTGGCTAGCGTTGGCAATGAGGTACTTCTCCAGAAGACCCTGAGAGAACAGAGGAAAGACCGACATTAAGCTATGAACATTAACATTACATGAATAAATGAAAAGCACTGACCATCAGAAAGAGGAAAAACTATTTTCTTAAAGGTAAAGTGTGCATTTTTGGATCCATCCTAATTGCATTTTTCATACGAGCAGTTTCATGTTACAAATAAAATTGATTCCTTTTGCTCTAACCATATAGTGGCCTGCCTTGCTGCCTACATAGGCAGCATCCTAAGTGAAACCTATTAAATGGTTGATTGCAATGCTGTGCATCATTTCATATAAAGCTTTAAACAATGATTTTGACTAAACAAAGACAATGAAAGAAACAACACAGTATTCTAATAAGCATAAATATATATTGCACATTTTTGGAATTTGAATTTCTGGAATTTAGAATTTTGGCTAAAAAGAGCCCTTCTTTAAATTCATGTGATACTTTAATGCTATAATGCCTTAAAATGCTGCAGATTTTGAAACAAAGCGTCTAATATTGCATAATAGACATCAGAATAATATTCCAAAGTTTTTAATTCAGCTGTAATTCTAAACTTAAAATTAATTGCAAATTAAATCAGGTGGAATTTCTAGAGCTGTCAAATGTTTTATTCACACGTCATGTCTCTCACCAGCACGTCGTTGCAGATCTCCTGAAGCTCGGCCTCGATCTTCTCACGGTATTCACGTGCCATCTGCTGTTTCTTCTCATTGCCCTCTGTTTTCTGCTCGATGCTGGAGATCACGCGCCAGGACGAGCGGCGGGCGCCCACCACGTTCTTGTAAGCCACGGAGAGCAGGTTGCGCTCTTCGTTGGAAAGCTCAACGCCGCCCTCCGTGACGGCCTTCATGGAAGCAGCCATGTCATCATAGCGCTCGGCCTGCTCAGCGAGCTTTGCCTTCTGCACTAGGTCGCTCTTGTCCATGATACAACTACAAAAGGAGGACACAAATGTACAAAATGCATGTTGGTGAGCTAATTTTCCTATAATATAATTAAGTCAAGTTTAGAGTCGTTTAGTGAGCTTGGCTGACCTCCTTTTGTTGTAAGGAGTTCAACTTTCAAGTTGGTGCTTATTTTGACCTGCACCAGATACTATTATTCAATTTGGGACTTACAAAGATTTAAGTCATACTGAAGGCTACCCATGATGAATGATTACGTACGAGGACCAATGCAAAGACACAGCTATGAAGCGGCAGTCATTCAATGACTGTCTCAAGACTTTATCTCAGTGCATTCATCACTGAATCATCATATCAGAGTCAAAAACATCAGTAAAGTCCCATGTATGACAATATGATGTTATGGGAAGTCGTGGCCTAATGGTTAGAGAGTCGGACTCGTAACCTGAAGGTTGCGGGTTCGAGTCTCAGGTCCGGCAGGGATTGTCGGTGGGGGAAATGTATGTACAGCGCTCTCTCCCACCTTCAATACCTTGAGCAAGGCACTGAACCCCCAACTGCTCCGGGTGTGTGTTCACGGTGTGTGTGTGTGTTCACTGCTGTGTGTGTGCACTTTGGATGGGATAAATGCAAAGCACTAATTCCGAGTATGGGTCACCATACTTGGCCACATGTCACGTCACTTTCACAATACAAGAGGATTACCTGAAACCAGTCTAATTAAACAGAGCTTTTGAAAATAGGCAGTTTTGCACACTAAAACAGCATACACACTAGTCTTCAAGCAAGCAAAATTACTTCAGACCCCACAATAATGCAGAATAATGAAGCGTTTGTGTTTTTCTTTCTTGAACTCAATTAAATTAAAATTCTCTGCTGATCAACCATCTTTTTGCTACAACTAAAATTCACCAAACTTAACCTTTGGTATAATGTGGTTAAATATCTGTTCTGGTATAAGAAAGCGCATCACATATCTTAAAAAAAAGAAAAAAAATTGTAAAACTTTAAACCATTTAAAACTTTAAACAAAAATAAGTTTGGGGGTTTTATTTAGCCATATAATGGTTTACAAAATATTACCATGTATTTCTGCATAATAAACCAGGTTTATGTATAGATAATGATACAAGTAGCGCTTAATCTAAAGGACTTTTTTGTCCAATAAGAAATATGTGCTTCTTAACATTTGTTTGACCTTGCCATTAACCATTTCTGAGAAATACATAAACATTGTAAATAGGGAAATAGTTTTATTTAGACATATAATGTTTTTTTAAATTATTATTTACTAAAATGACCATGCATTTTATGCATAAAGAACCAGGTTTACCCATAGTTAATGGTATAATCAGTGGTTAACCTACAAGACTAGTTTAGATCAGTAACAAATATATGTCCATAACACTTTTTTTTTTTACTTTGATTTTAAATTTAGTGTCTAACAATTGTCCTTTGCACCAAATGACAAATAATCAGGATGTATTTTTAGGTCATACTGCACTGAAGCAGTGGTTTCAGGATTTCTGAAATATATAACCCAATTAAAAAGCACGTCAAAATCATTATTTCTAAAACACACAACTGCTTCTCCACCTCTGCGTATTATAACCGGTCAAAGTCTAAACCGAACCCACTAGATCACCTATTCTAAATCACATATAACCCCAGGTCTCTGGCTGCTGCTTGATATTCCATTTATCCAATTGTCCTGTCTACCTTCGTGCAAGGTCACGGAATCCGACATGGAATCGGGATTCTAGCAGGGCACAGTGGGAATTTCAATCCTATCAGCTATCAATACGTGTGTAAGTGCCAACGCCCAGGGCGTTGATGTCTCCGCCTGAACCCGAACCACAGGTAACGGTGTCAGGCGAGTAAACACAGCCCTTCCAGCTCCTGGAGACCAACACACACATGTGAGCTTGCTAATCGGTTGCCTAACGTGACCGAGGAGGGCTGGAGTACTAGTTAGAACGCATAGTTTGAACGGTTAGTAGATGACATAATCTGGTGTCGAACTAGATTTATTTACATAGGCCCTCACGACGCGTCCTGACCACAAGTCCACTATCCTTTGAGGCGATTCTTTCGCGATTGAAATGATCCCAACCCACTAAGTTATATTATATCAATAAATTAACTCGAACGCATTTAGAAATACTACAACTATAAATCCGAGTCGTTCAAAGCGCCTAACCTCGCTAATACTGCACTGCAGCATATTCGAGGCTCTACGCTCAAGCTAGCAGCGTTAGCCACCAATGCAACGCCCTCACTCCCTTGTGGAATTTAATCGGACGTGCCGATTATTCGCGCCAAATTAAATTTAACCGTTACTAACTGCAATTCGTAAGCACTCGCTTTACCCCTCTTTGTGTAGAACACTATTAACTGGTTAGCCGGTTAGCTTTCACGACGGCCGGGAGTTGAATAGACGCGGGAGCCGTTGGCCATTGCTCCCGTTCGGATGAGGGTTGTTCGGCGCGATGCTACTTTGATTGCACTCTTACGTAATGAAAGTGCGGGAACGGTGCGCTTCTAATATAAATCGGAAATAAATCGGCAATAATCGTTATTCATCGCCCGCCTCGGCCTAAGTCCTTGTACCCAGCCCCAAACCACAATAGACACCTTCCGCCATTGACAATGATGAGGGGGGCTTACATGTGCAACAATACAGCAAATGCATCTCTAACATTCATAATATCACACGAGTGGCCTTAATGGGCAATGTAACTCACATTTAAATATATTTCGAGTCCTGATTTGTGTCTGTTAACGATGGGAGTATCAAGCTGTCCTCCGTTTCGCTGCTCGGGGTATTCAGGGCAGTACCACTTCCGCTGACGCTGACACTTCCGCTTCCTCTAAACTCCCCCCCTCCCCCCCGCCAGTATCCATGGTAACCGCTGTCCGGGGTTTCCTACACCGTTTTACACGGTCCCTCACGTCACAAGGACCATGGTAACCAAAGTCGTGCGTGACGTAGTTAGTCACCATAGCAACCGTTGCCAGGAGGCGCTCGACAGCTTGCCGAATTCGAAATGGAAGCTTGTGAGATTAATAAAAACGGCAACAACAGAAGACGATGTTTACTCGATCTCAGACTGCCTAATCGCGCGTATGATTCACCCTTCCGCCGATGCAGCCGCATTCTGAAGCACGCAATCATCTGTAACACTCGTTTCCATCTTTTATTTCTGTTTTTGTTCATAATAATAGTGGTATTTTTTTTATTTGTGTTGTAGTTATCACTTTTTTCTGTCAGAAAGAGTACATAAAAACAAAAAAGTCATTGCATAAAAATATGATAAAACAGATGAGAAATTGAGTCAAAATAAATAATTATAATGGCAATAAATAAATAAATACATTTGTGCAACAGCGGAGAATGTTAAATATATAGGATATTCCTAATTTTACGTCATAACTTTTTCTTTTTACTATATTAATAGTAAAAAAGAAAAAGTTTTGCATATGCAAACACTTAAGTACGTTTAAACATCATCAAATTCTCTTGAAATATTTGTTAAGTAAGATTTAGCCTTTTTATTTTGTTGATGTACAGTGACGATGAAGGTATGTAATTTCATTCCATTTAAAAAAAAAAGAGGATTTATAAAATCTAATAATACATTTGTGGCCCTATCTGTGAAATACAGGCTGAAGTCTCAAAATCTAATTATGAGATAACAAGCATCAAAGTTTGATTTCAACCATTAATTTCACTATGATTTCAATCTTTGACACGGCCTTACTCAGTCAATATTGAAGATATCAAGGTTACATTTTCAATGAATGTTCTTTACCTTAGAACGATTTTATGCAGAAAACATTAAATCACCAAAAAAAAAAAAAAAGACTTTAGCTGGGATTTGACAGCAAGGGTCACATTTGGTAATGTTTCAAAGAGTAGGCCTATCTTGTGCTTTGATGGAAAAAGTGACATAATCAGCATCATTACATTGCAATTTGGATTAGTGACCTAGAAATGGTGCAGAATCTTACATATTTATTCCTTTTTTACTATACACTCATGACATCAACAGTAGAACATCAGCAAATTCTCTATAATTATTTGTCCAGATTTAGTCTTATGCATTTGTTAATGTGTAATGATAACACACATGAATGAATCAAATTAATTCTTAAAAAAAAATAAAAGGCTATAAATACAAGACAAACCCATTTAAACAGGGTTTATAACCCAAATCAAGCCTGCCAGCGCTTGTGATACACAGAAGTCACCAGTAGGGTGTAGTGTAGATCTCTACAGTTACAGCGACTCAAACAGGTCAGTCTGCTGGTTGCTTTAGTTTATGTTAAATTCTACATTGGCTTGTATGACGCAGACATAATCAAATCTGCCGGTTTAACCAACACTGGAGCATTGCTAAGATCACAGTCTACTCCAACAGCAATTTGCCCCTGAAAAGCAGAGGTTGCTCTGTGCATGTGGAATCTCATTGCGGTTAGTATTGCTTAAAGGCAAATGACATTTGTTAGTATCTAGGCCATTTTTATAAATGGTATGACGTCAAGTCACAACATTTGTTAAACAAAACTCAATAGCATTGCAACTTTGCATTCATAGGGCAGGTTTGCTCATGTAGGCATCATGCATTACAATCAAGTCTGATGATGAACAAAAATGATGTTTAAGATGTTTCCATCAGTTTGTAAGTTCCCAGGTATCATGCTCCTTTGATACTACTAGAGCTTTAAAAGAAAAATATGTCAGATTGAGAATGTCTATGTTTAATGCAATCAAAATAAGCACGCAAAGATCTTCTGAAGGTGATGTTTCTGCATGCATTGTGCCACTAACATATTTATTTTTTGATTTTTGCACATCCACCTTCTCACATAAAAAGTTTTAAGTATTTAAATTAAGTAGGTCAATTAAGTAGCCTGTCTACTTCATTAATTTAGAATTGAATTATTAGGTTGACCTTTAACCTTTCAAGCCAGGTCACACAGGGGTAAATCCGAAGCACTCAAGTACACCTTCCTTGATGCATATTTGCGATTAATGTCAGTTTTGTAATTTCATGCATGCATACGAGAAATTACCACATTCTTCTCAATCATCCACTTGTATAACAAAGTAGAGCAACCAAATTTGGTGCATGAATAATTAGATTTATTTTCTCACAGTATTTAGAAAGGAATACTTACTGTTCAATTAAACGGATACTGCAATGAGTGAGTATGTTTCATAAACCAATTCAAAGCTTTTCAGTGATGCTATATCATGTATGACTCAGACCAAAAATGAGGCTGGGTTATTTTGGGACAGCAGCCCAGATGACTGAAAAAGACAGCATTAAAGAACTGAACATGGTCATTATTATTATGAACGCTCATTAAAAATCTAAGCTTATCTTTCATATACAAGAAGCTCAATACATTCTGAAGTCTAATGTCTAAAATTAGTGAACTATTTAATGGACAAATGTAGATATAAATTATATAAATGAGGGGAAAAAAACTGTTCTTTTGGGTGCCTGATTGAAATGTCTTGAAATAACCCTTAAAAAACATCCAGCACAAAAGAGGCTGCCGTAGAGTGACGAGTCTATGTTCCCCGAAGGGACTTGAGAATAATATCTATAGCTGCGAGTCTACAGGGAAATCTGTGCAGACCTGCTTAAGGCATGTTCAAGCAGATTTATTTGTTAAGCAATAGAAGCATGTGTTGATGCTGACTTGGTCACCTATTCATAAATCAAAGACATACAGTACGCCGCTGTATGTGTTGTTGTTCTTGTTAATGAAAGCTTTGCACAAAAGCTATATGACTAAGGCAAGCACCATTAATACTTCTATTTATACTTTAGGGTTAGGGACACAAACCAGTGTTATTATATTATTAGTTATATACTACTATACTATTTATGAATTTTTTCATAATTTCAGTTTTCAATAAATTTTTATAAATATATTTATTTTTTAGTAATTTTAGTACTTCGGCAACATTTCTAATCTTCATTCCAACACCCCCCCAAATCTAATATTTATATTATATTTAAGCTTTTATGTCAATTACCTAAAATGATTTTTAAGAGTTTTAGTTTTAGTTAATAATACTACTGACAAAAACAAACCCCTAACTCTAGTTTTAAAGGAATAGTTCACCCAAAAATGAAAATTTGCTGAAAATTTACTCACCATCAGGCCATCCAGGATATAGATGAGGTTTTTTTTTCTCTTTTTTTCAGATTTGGAGAAATTTAGCATTGTATCACTTGCTCACCAATGGATCCTCTGCGGTCAATGGTTGCCATCAGAATGAGAGTCCAAACAGCTGATAAAAACATCACAATCCACAAGTAATCCACACCACTCCAGTCCATCTATTAACATCTTGAGAAGTGAAAACTGCATGATTGTAAGAAACAAATCCAGAATTTTTAACTTCAAACCATTGCTTCTCATTAAAATATGAGTCCTGTATCCATAATATTGCTTTCTGCAGTGAAAAGTGGTCTCATCTGAATCAGGAGAGAAATATTCACAGATCAAGCACTGTTTAAAAGTGAAAACGGTTCTAAACAAATGGATCTGATGTGAGAGATGGACTTTTTCACTGGAGGAAGCATTATTATGAATTTTTTAAATGTATTTTGATCAGAAGTGATGGTTTGAAACACCTTAATGATGGATTCGTTTCTTACAAACATGCAGCTTTTCACTTTACAAAATGTTAACTGATGGACTGGACTCATATGGATTACTTGTGGATTATTGTGAGGTTTTTATCACGATGCTCACAACACCCTAACATTCACAACTAACAGTGGCTTTTGCACAGTCATTTGCATTTTCCTTACGTAAAAACGTAAAAACTCAGTTATGATATATTGTGGAAGATACTGGTGATTTAAACCTCAGAACCTTTTCACTTCAGTCCTCTTGGTTGAAATACAGGGCTGTTAAATATGTATTCAAGAAATGCACTGCCTCACAAGACACACTGTATGCCTCTCATGTTGGAGAGCAAACATAATAGTCTTGGACAATATCACACATCGATTGTTCAGCTACATAATGGAGAGAGCTGGAGATTCTTTACTATGCATGGAGAGAAAAGACTGAACTATACTACCACATGATATAATATATATATATATATTAGTGGCTGAAATCAGTGTATTGGAACATCTAAATAAAACTATTGGTATTTCACCACTAGATGTCAGTATCAGATTTGGCCCATTTTTCCAACTTCTTGCTCTTGATTTGTGATCTCATTCTGTTAGTAAAAGTGCCTAAGACAGCTATTATATTTCATTTATTTATTTTTTCATAGCATGGTATTGTCCCAGCCACAATTTAAAATACACAAATTAAAGAAATAATGTGATAATATAATATAAATGTGTCATATTTAGAAAAAACAATATTTGGTTGAATTATTCTACTGTTATATTCATTATTATATAATTTCATCATGAAAATGGTTTGTAGAATATATATATATATATATATATATATATATATATATAGTCTTTATGCTAGCATGCCATTTTTAGTACATAATCATTCCCTGGATAGAAATTAACACGCATTACTGACAGCCAAACAATTGAAAGGAAGGAGCAAAGCACAGCAGAGTGGCATATATCATCTCAGCATGAAACATGAATGAGAAACTAGATTTGTACATTTTCTGAAGGAAAGATAAGTGGTGCCTGCTAATGCAAAACTCACTCTGTGGTTGTCAGTACGTTGCTATGCAGTTGCATGAGTGTTCTGGGTGGTTGCTAGGTGGCTGCCAGGGTGTTACTGCATTCTGAGTGGTTGTTAGTGCTTTTCTAGGTGATTAATGGCTTACATTTCAGTCAAAGCATAT